CGGCCCCCATTCAAACCTTGCCTTTTTCTTAATTGCCTGGAAAAAGTATAGGCATTTGTCGCCTGATCGGCTTAGGAATCTCCCCAAGGCCGCCAGACAACCTGTTAATTTCTGAACCTCTCGGACGGTACGGGGCGACTGCATGTCGACGACCGCCTGCACCTTCTCAGGGTTCGCCTCTATTCCTCTCTGATTGATAAGGAATCCGAGAAATTTCCCAGACTCAACTCCAAATACACATTTCTTGGGATTGAGCATGACATGGTGCCGCCTGAGTGTGGCGAAAGTTTCTCGGAGGTCCGTCAGATGATCTTTCTGAAGTTTAGTCTTGACAATCATATCATCAATATATGCCTCAACATTCCTCCCAATTTGATCAAAGAACACTGTGTTTATCATTCGTTGGAAGGTAGCCGGGGCATTCTTAAGACCAAACGGCATGACAGTGTAACAGTATAACCCCTGATCAGTGACGAAGGCCGTCTTCTCCTGATCTTTCTTCCACAAAGGAATTTGATGGAAACCAGAGTAGGCGTCCATAAAGCTCATCAAAGCATGGCCGGCTGTTGAGTCGACCAGGCTATCAATTTTAGGCAGAGGGTAACTGTCTTTGGGGCACGCCTTATTCAAGTCTGTGTAGTCTACACACATTCGCCAGGTACCATTCGGCTTTTTAACAAGAACCACATTTGCAACCCAGTCTGGGAAGTAACATTGCCGAATGAACCCTGCATCAAGTAATTTTTTAACTTCGGCGGCTGCCGCCTGACTTCTTTCTTCGCCATGGTTCCGCTTCTTTTGCCGTACCGGCTTCTTTTTCGGATCCACAGCGAGTTTATGTACTGCCAGATCAGGACTAATGCCTGGCATCTCATGGACTTCAAATGCAAAGATGTCCTTGTATTCTTTCAATAAGTTGTGAAAGTCGTCACCAAGGTTTCTCAGAGCAGTCGTCCCAACTTTGACTGTTCGGTCAGGACGTGAGTCGTCTAAGATCAGTTCCGCATGCTCACCAGCCGGCTGAGGGCGGAACTCATCCGGCCGCTCCTCTGCCAATGATTGCTATTTTCTTGCTTTTCTTGCGGACTCTGTCTGGGACGCCTTTCTCTTTTTGTCGCCTGTTTCGTGAACAGGCGCACTCTTCTTGACATTGTCAAGGTCTGTTTTTTCTCCACTTGACCCAGTGGCCATAACAGTGGGCTTGACATCCGAGAGATAGCACTCTCGGGCCATCCTCTGATCTCCCCTTAGGGAGCCGACTGTTCCATTATCCCTCTCAAACTTAAGCAGCATAAGAGACGGGATTATAACAGCCTTGGAATTATTCAGGGTTGGTCGACCCAGAATCATGTTGTAGGCCGAGAGTTCCTCTACTACTAGGAACCGGACTACCATGTGTCGTCCTTCCCCTTTTTCGCCCAGGCGAATGGGTAGATCTACTCGTCCCAGTGGGTGGACGACTCCTCCTCCAAAACCTATTAAAGGGTGAGAGGCCGGATGTATGCAGTCCGTCTGATATTTCAGTTTTGACAGACATTTGCTGCTGATGAGATCTGAGGAGCTCCCGGTATCTATGAGGATTCGGCCAACTCTCTGGTTGGCCACTTTACATTCAATAACGAGAGGGTCGTCATGCGGCCCCCTTACCCCTCCTAGATCCTCTTCAGTGATGACAATCTCAGGAAATGTATATCTGGACGGCCGTTCTTGGTGAACGGAATTTACATCTAACCGTCTTATATTATCTTTGTTGCCCCTAATAGTGGGGCCGCCTCCTGAGAAGCCGCCTGCAATGGTGTAGACGACTGCATCATCTGTATCGGAGCTGTCGGCCTGTTGATTCTTTTTGGCCGACTGCTTTTTTGAGGAAGTGTTCCCCGTAGATTTCTTGACATAAGTGTCAAGATCACCTTGCTCAGCCAAGCGGTCTAGGTACCGCATGAGACTGATGCAGTCATTGGTGTGATGACCAACGTCATCATGATAAGCACAGATTTTGTCTTGGTTCCGGTTGTTTGCCGAACCCTTCATGGGGACCGGCTTCTCAATTGAGAACCGTCCCTTTAGTTCTTTTAGGATAAACTGGTTATCCTTGTTAAACACATACTTTGGGGAGTATGGTTTGAATTCTTTTTTCTTCTTCTGGGCCGGCTGTTTAGAGGAATCGGCCGCCCAGACCTCTTTTCTTTTCTCCTCTTTGTTAGACGACTGTTTCTGTCGTCCTTCTCTTTTGTCGAACTTTTTCCCGTCCGACTGTTTTATCGTACACAGATCAGTCGCCTGTATATAGGCTTCTGCTTCAATCAAGGCCTCTTGAAGAGTCGCCACCCTTTTTCGAACTAAGTCAAATTTGAAGGTAGACCCGTCTTTGAGACCTCTAAAAAAGTCAGTATAAGCTACCTCATCCGGTAACCCTTGAATCTGTATTCTCATCAGGTTGAACCGCCTGATGTAAGAACGAAGCCCCTCCTTCTCGCCCTGCTGAATTGTTCCCAAATCAAGGGTCGTTTTCTTCGCAGGGATGTTCATGGCGAAGTTGGAGGCAAACAAGTAAGCAAGCGTCCTGAAGCCGTTTACACAACCAGTCGGCAGGTTGCCGAACCATTGCTGTGCGATTCCCTTGAGAGTCGCTGGGAAACACTTGCACCAAGTGGGATCATCCAACCCTTGAAGGTACATCAGGTTGGTGAATGCCATCAGATGGTCCTCTGGGTTAGTAGTGCCGTCATAGGCGCCTACTAGTACATTTTTTACTTTGGCCGGCTGAGCGGCTTCAGTAATTTCCTTGGAGAAGGCCGACGGCTGTTCACCAAGTCTAAGCAACCGTAGCTGCCAGTCCATAGGTTGGACGTTTTTTGCTGCAGGTCCACCAAATGGAGGTGGCTGCATAAAATACTGTTGTTGCGGCACAAATGGTAAGTTTGGTACCGCCTGGGCACTATGAAAGCCGGACTGACTGGAGGTACCGCCTGACTGACTCTCATGGTACGACTGAGTATGCCTCATCGAGGTATTTTGTAAACTTTCTTGAAAATTTGAAGTAGAGGCCGACTCTGACAGTCGGTCACTCTTCTTCTGTTCTAACAGCAGACGAGCGTCTGTGTATGTTTTCTTCGACCCGTCCGCCTGAATGTGACGAACAGGTTTCCTATTTCCCGTAGGATAACGGAATTTTGTGAAATCAAGAGCAAGTGGCTCCCGCTTCTTGGATTTAGGATGAGGAGTCGCCTCTCGCCCTTGAACTGGCTTCCTCTTCAGTGAAGTGGAAGGTTTTTTGGCCGACTGCTCTCTGACTGAAGCAGGCGGCTTGTTGTTGATCAACTCTTGAATCTCTCCCTTGAAGTCCCTCATGAAGGTCATGAGTTCGTTCCTTGTGATGGGAGCAGACCCATCAGTCGGCTGTTGCCGAGCAGGCGGTGCGCCTGCTGGCTCGCTTCCTGTTTGAAGATGCTCCCGTTCCCTCCTTTCGGTATGACGGGTACGTCGGGCCCTTAGGGTCCCGTCTGGAGCTGTATGAGTTTCCACTTCAAATTCACTTTCGGTGTCATGGTCCGACTGAACTTGAGGGTCGTTTAGGGGACGCCTCTCTTCAGGAGTCGGTACAGACTTGGATGCCATCTCAGAGGTACTCTCCCCACAGACGGCGCCAAATGTTTCGGGTTTTTCTGATGTCCTGCGGGAGAGTTACAACACCGAGACTGGAACCGGCCGCCTGTACCTGCAAAATAACGGAGACTCCTGAGAGCTCCGCCTCCAACGGTCAAGTTAGTACCTGATTAAGGAGTAATGAGTGCGGAAATTAAAGTGGTTTAGTCTCTCTAGGTGAGAGTGTTTAATGTATAATCCGTGTGTTATTAGAGTTCTCTGTCTTTTTCTCTCTCCTCTTAATGAGGATTAAGAGGAGTATTTATAGTCTTGAGAAGCGTGCCACTCTCTAGGTTTAGGGTAAACCTAGGGCTGACCGGGCCTCTAAACAGGATTGGGCCTTGGTGGCCGGTTTTCCCATTTGGCATGGGTGGACACATGGCGTGTCTCAATTGGTCCGCAGAGGACGTATCTGTGATTGACACGTGGCAGGCTCCTATTGGCCTACGTGAAGGACACGTGGCGGAACCTGGTTGGTCCACTTGTCAGACGGTGATTGGAGGATAAAAATCCCCTAATCAAATTGTATCTCAAATAGGATTTCCGGTTTAACCCAAGCACCGTGTGGGGGAAATAAACCTCTTTAGGAAAGTGTTTACATGCCTTTGACAGTGTATCAAGGTACTAGTCTTATGGGACACCGGTTATCTCATGTTCATGCTTGGAATTAACGGCTTGGAGAAAAGGAAAGTTTGATCATCTCCACACTAGTGTAATCTTTGTAATTTCTCAGTAATTTCTTAGATATATCTAATACTTGATTGTGATACATTGAATTGTATTTGATATTTACAATTATATTTTAATCATATATTTTAGGATTTGTTCCCACACATTGTTTTAAGTGTTTTTCTTAATTGAAATCGATGTAAATCCTAACAATTATCACCCGCTAAGCATCCGATCCACCCGTTGCACCCGCAGATGACGGATGGATCGGATGTGGGTGGCGGGTGGAGCGGATGGTGGATTCGGGTGGATGCGGGTGAAGCTCCATCCGACCCAAATCCGATCCGTTGCCATTCCTAGACCTATATGACCCTTAAATGAAACCAACTTGAATATTGATAAGGCCCTAAAAATGTTTCTGAACATGCTTCATATGAATGTTGTTTTTCAATGTTTATGAAGTTTGAGTGTTTGACTCCAAAATAGAAAATATAGTTTACGTCAAGAATGAATGAATTTAAGACAAATAGTATGTATTCCATTCAAATAACTGTTAGATTTTTGAAGGTTACTTAGCCTATAGCTTGTATTATAAGTTAGTCAATAAATCCCCAATATCAATTCATACGAAAGTAAGCCTTAAAACTACACAAAGAATTGAACTTAGGTTGTTAGAAGTCCATCACACCAAGTCATCATTCAAAGGGTCAACAGTCAATCGTTTTTATGGATCAATTTTCAAAGAATTACAAATATTAGTCACCTTCTCCCTTCACATTCTGAGAAAACAAAGCTCATACATCAACTGAATTGCATATAAATTTGCATAGTTCCAAGTTTCTCCAACATTTCTTCACTCAAATCTCTCCCCGTCATCTCCCGTCTTCGAATCAAGCCATGAATTTGGACGGAGACCAACACGACGCCACCAAAAGAATCACCTATGACCTTAACAGCAAGATCATGGTAACAGCTATACTATCCCTCTGCTTCGTTATCCTCCTAGTAACACTTCTTCACATTTATGCTAGATGTGTCCTACGCCACCCACGCCGTAACCCCACCTTAACCTTCATCCACCCTGACCTGGTGCAGCTCAGTGATTCCACAACAGCAAAATCCGGACTTGATCCAACAGCCATCAGTTTGCTACCATCAACTCTGTTCAAGCAGATGGAAAATGATGACGAACACATTGAATGCTCTGTGTGTTTAAGCATATTGGAGGAGGATCAGCAAGTTAGGCGTCTACCCAACTGCAATCATGTATTCCATACGTCGTGCATCGATCAGTGGCTCAGTGGCCAAGCAACGTGCCCGATTTGTCGGTCTGAGGTGTCTCCTCTATTAACCCCGCTAGACCGAGAACCTCCCATTGTCAGTGACCTGACCGAGGTAGTGGTTGTTACTTCAGAAGGTCTTGAACATAATATTCAGGATGTAATAAACTCAGGCAATAATAGTAATAATCCTAGCAAGATTATTAATGCTGGAAGCGGATCATCGTCGTCAAGCTTTCGAATGAGCTCTTTTAGGAAGATCATTAGTAGGGAAAGATCATTATCTTCAAGCAGAATGCAAGTTTTTGAAGATCAACAGAATCAAGTTCAGCAATGATCTCTGACATTTTGCAGAAATTCTATTTGTTTAATATTAGTGTTTAGGCATACATTATAAACAATAGTATCATTATTTAATATATTTTGTATGAGATTCAACTCAAAGAAGAAAAAAAAAAAAAAAAAAAAAAAAAAAGTCATTACATGTATACAATCAATTGGACAAATGAGAACATGAAAAGAGTTTTTCAATATAGTTGTTTAATTAAGTATAAACATAAGCATACATTTTCAATTTTGTCTTGACCAAAAGATAAGTAGAATTTTGTACACTTATTTGGTAAACTAATTTAATCAAAGTTTATGTTTTTCTAGGGGTTAGTATAAATTCGATTAATTAATTATTAAATCTTCAAATCACAACCTCAACAATCCTATTAACTTAATTCCCTATTTATTTTGTTTTTCCTTTATTTATTTTTTTCCTGGAGCAATAAAGAATCAACTGCTAATTGTTTTTTTATCCAGCTGTCCAAGGTTACCAAATATAATTGGCATTTTGTCAATAACGTAAAACAGCTGATATCTTTTCTTTCACACTTAGAATGTCTTTTAATCAGCCAATTATATCAATTGTTTGTTGATTAAATTTTAATAGTTTGCTTGCTTTAGTTTAGAACACTTAGAGAGCTCTTGCTACAAGTATCAGTTTATATAATTAGTAGTCTTTTGGGTTGCATCACGCTTGAAAGAAAACGTATTTAGCTCGAACTATGTTACTCAAACTCTTGAATTCTCCTCTTTGTGTTAAATCCTAGACACTAATTGACATCTTCATTCGGGATCAATAATATGAAATGACAAACTATCCATTTATGACACTTTTGTACATTACTCAAGTTTGAGCTAAGGTAGATCTTGATCAAAACTGAATAAATGTAAGAGTTTATTTTGTAATTTGGGCCAAGTAGAAATAATACATCAAGATTGAGATTGGTAAATAAATAGTAAATGAAGATTCAATAGTTTTGACCCAGAGAACTTTTAATAAACTTTCTAGTATGAGCTGTGGAAAATTTAAACTGTTATCAGTTTGCTACTCCTTGTCCTCTTTAACTGGGACAGGCTCACGCTCACCTTTGTTAACAATATAATTCGTACTTCGTAAGAAAATTAAAAGACCACTTTCGATTTGGTAATCGAATCTTGAACCATAGCTATCATGAACAATATGCAAGAAAAATAAAATCATTTAAACCCCAATCGAAGGACAGAAACTGTACAAGCGCAGCAACTATGCCTGTAAACTATGGAAGTGGGAATCCGGGGGATCACAACAGTAGAATTGAATCATAGCTAATCAAAAGCAAAAAACACACTAAACATCACTGATTTGAATCCAATAGAAGGGCAGAGAAGAAGAGATACTGTACACTACACAACAACAAAAATATATTAATTGGTTTTACAAACCAGATAGGTTCCAACGAAATATATTAATTGTTCATGAAAGATACAAGAATCAAAGCCGGGAACAAAACTTTTCCAGGAATGATATTAGCAAGATCTAAGCCTAGCTCTATTTCACTGACTTGCTTCACTCAATACATCCAATTCTCACCAATTCTCATCTGTTATAGTGAGAATATAAAGATTGCGAGAAGCAAATTAAGGAGGGCTAACGTCCTAACCTCTGTTGCAGCAAACTGAGGGGTCTCGTTCAAGTCTTCACTACCTGGGATGACTCCTGCAGTTGAAGGGGTGGTAGAATTTGCAGCAGTGAAAATACTGTATCAACAGCAAAAATTATAATTAAAAACCAAATGGTCATGTAACAAAGCTTCAGAAAATAACTAAAGACTAATAAACATGATAGCATCTAAATTTTTTGCACAATCATTACTCCATACTCATTATCATATTCCAAGAACAAAAAACCAGGTGGCATTGAACCTATAAAGTAAAATAATACAAAGTAACTACTAATAATTCGTATTTGCTAAATACTCTCATCCTTTACAAATAACAGTCACATGTACTACTCTAGGATGTTGAGAAAAATAAAATTCTCCATACTAGTGATGGCATTACAGGATGAAAAAAAATAATAAAAAAAATTGCATGTAATCCATAAAGCTAAAGTATAACTACATAAAACCTAACTATGCTAATTAAGTACTCCCACCTTCAGTGAAAAAAAAAAAATGCATACATACACAATATTAGGATGTCAAGTCCTAAAACAGTAATTATATCAAACCTATTGATTTTATTGGTTTGTATAACTATACCATATCCTAATTAGATTTGGGCAATGTGACAACTGATTAATTCATATACATGTTTGAGAATTAGAGAATTTTGAGAAATAAGAAAAATCCTGAATTCACAGGCTACTATAGAAAATATCTGTCCTCCTCCTCAAGTTCTATAAATAGTCTCTTTAACTGGCAGTCTACTTTTAGCTAATGTAACAAACATTTGCTGTCATAACAGTCAGTTCAGTTATACGATGATCACTTGTCTGTTACTAAATACTCAGTAGGAGCCTTACAATAATATACTCCTAAGTGCTGAAGGTAGATGAGCCTTCATCTTACTAGGTTGCTCTACAAAATCACTCACATTCCATATTCAGAGAACATTTTATAACACTTCAGAACATGCACCCCTGGCGGACTTGTAATCCATGAAACTATGTAGCACCTCAGCATCAAAAATTCTCAACAGATAAAGATTAACACTCCTAGCGTTTCTCTTTAAGCAAAAATAAAAAAAAAATACAATAAAATTGAAAATAAAAGAAATCAAAATATTAAAGCTGTATGCCACACCAGAGTACTATTGATAGGAAGAAAACTGCCATCAGGTCAAAACTATGACATGTCACAATTGGGATGTCAAGGAAATTGAGGAATAACTAAAAACTTCACTTATTACCAAAGGCATTTCTTCTTCCACTATAAAAACTTCATTTAAATGTCACCAACTTCAGTATATGCAAATTAATGCTGGTTTTTGCGGTTAACATATTTCTCATTCCTGGCTTGATGACAAACAGACCTTACTTTATCAATATAAGCTCTTCATCCATGTGGGAAAACCATGAGTCCAAAGATGTTTCAGAATAACCTCTACCAGATAGGGAACTATTCTCCATGTCATTAAGTTAATCACCCCATTTTAGAATTTACAACATAAAATATATCCTAAAACAAGTTGCAAGAAATTTGGATCCCTCACATCATGTCTCTTGCCTTCTCATCCCCTAATCTATGACTCTCCCTCCCTTGTCTATTAAAAACCTCCCATCCATATACATTGTAAGAAGCCACACAAAAAGGGATTACAACACTTCAAGCCTCCTTACCGGAGCCTCACTTGGTCTCCTTCTAACATTGCTAAATCATCTTAACCGATTCTCTCTCATCTTGTACTCAATCAATGTAACCCCTACTTTCTTCCAAAAGACAACCCTTAATGATTTTTTAGTCTATTTATCCTTAATTGCAACAACCCTTAAGATCTCCATTGACATATCCATTCACAGGGTAAAAACAATCATCGCATCAAAACTAAGCACTATGCAGATTTCATTCCAGGGGGAGCGTAAGGATATCAAAGGCAAAGTGTCAACTTCACTGATTACTAATAATGGAAAGGTGTATCATGCACTTCCACTATAAGACAAAAACACCTTAGTAACATGCAATATATACTGCTCAGCATTTATCCATTTGTAAAGATGGAAAACTTTTCATTTGGAGATGTTTGGTTAGCTAAATTTCTTGAAAGCAAGAGAAGATTGAGCTCCTCCAAAAGGACACTACATCTTTTACCACATCTAAATAAGCTATAAGTTGATCCGTTATAATTTGTTCTGAAGATATATAAATTATTGTCAAATCCTAAAGCAATAGGCAAGTTTTTCAAAAAATTGTATACTAACACAACAATAATGGTGGAAGGAATGTATCTATCATTATCCATCCATCCCTCCCATTCCATTCTCATCGAATCATCATATCCGACCACATTGACACATTGTATGTGATTGCAAACAAACAAATACGCAAAATAGACCAACTCATAAAAAATCTACAGAGTTAAGAGCTAGCTAAAAGTGGCTCTTCAGACAAAAAATCTATGGTCAAGTTAAGACTTAAGAGTATTAAGTACAAACATTCAATCAATACCAAGACTAATTCTATTTCTCTCCCGAAACTAAGGATTGCAATTTAGAATATTAGTTCCATAGATGAATATATTTCAACATTAGAAATAGAGCTAGAACAACCTGTACAACATAGCATTTTCCCTTATAATGCTCATCAAAAAAAAAAAAAAAAAAAAAAAAACAATTTCCTTTATAATGGCACAAATAAAAATTGGTAACACCCTTTTATAGTTTTATTTCTAATACTAAGCAATTAATTACTAATTAATGCCCTATAATTTATCCAAATCAAAAGGGCATATTTATACTGACTACCAATTGACAAGAAATAAATAACAATTCTTAATAATACTTCAAAAATCAAAACCCAATAAAATTAGACAATTTTAACAACTTTTAAAGATTATTAATTACCTTGAAGCATATTTGCACTTTCCATGACCTGCAAATTCCCAAAAAAAAAAAAAAAAAAAAAAAATTCAACAATTCAAAAAAATTAGAATGTAGCATTAACAATTAAGAAAAATAACAAACAAAAAAAAAAGAAAGAGAAATTACTTGGATCGAGAGCAGTAAGAGCAGCAGTGTTACTGAAGTTACAAGTCTCTTCACTCATACCATGCTTTAGACAATAATCATTGAAAGCATAAGAAGCCATATCAATAAGATCATTTGGATCATAACAAGGCCCACCATTTTGGATTGGGCCACAGCTAGCACCACCTGGCCCACAAGCCCAATCCAAGGCCTGCTGAAGTGCGGAATCCTCGGCGTTGTTCTTTGCCACACACCATAGCTGCTGCTGCTGTATTACTGCTTTTTCTTCTAGTTGGGCCTTAGTGGGCCGAAAGGTTACTGCTAGGAGGAGAGAGAGTAAGAGAGAGAAAGTGATGATAAAATTCGCCATCTTTGTTAATTAGAGTATGAATTGAGGTATCTGGTTTATTTGTAATTCTTTCTTGTTGAGTTGAGTAATTATTTTTGTGCTGGGAATGAGCAGTGAGTAGAAAAAGTGACCGTTGAAGTGATGTAGTTTCGGACAGACAAAAGACATTTGATTTCTGAAAATTGTTTTATGGACGGGTCGTGGTTTTTATTTGAAGGGGGTTTCCTAGTTCCTATTACAGTGTTCTTTGAGAGTGGCCGTGGGCAGTGTGGGTTACAGCTTCTCGGTTACTTTCTTCGTTTCGAATAATCGACATAATTAAAGTTGTTACATTTGTCAATTTTATTTTTGACCATTAAGATATACTGCATATAAAAAACTGGTTTTAATAATTCTAATTTTAGGTCATTTATTTATTGTTAAGTATTTCAATTTTAGGGCGTTTCCTTCAGATAGGTCATGACGGTCAACAAAAGTCAACAATCCTATTATAATAAGTTATTTGTCATGTGTTAAGCCTTGGTTGATCCAAACAGTTAAAAACAATTTTTAAAATATGAAATAAATTAAAACCACCCCACCGCTGACGCCATCCCTCCTTAACCCCTCATCCAAAACCATGCTCTCCTCACCTACCAAAAATCGACTCCTCCTCCCTTAGCCTCACCCAAAACCTAACCCAGCCACCTGAAAGCCAACCCCTCCCCCCCCCCCAAACTATGGTTCGAAATCACCTTGAAACTTAACTTAGGTCCAAAACCGCCTTGAAAGTAGTGGTTTTAGAGGAAGGGGGTGCGACTATGGTGATTTCGACAAAGGGGGGTGGAGTTAAGGTGGTTTCAAGGGAAGGAGAGGATGGGGCTATGGTTGTTTCGAGAGAAGGGAGGAGTGAAAGGTTGTTTCAAGGGAAAGGGTAGGGCTGTGAGTAGTTTCAACTTTCGAGGGAAAAGGGTCGGGCTGCAGGTGGTTTTCAAGGAAAGGTGGTGGTTTTTGGTGGGGCTAGGGAGGAGAAGGTGGTTACTGGTGAAGTTGGGGAGGGAGAAGGTGGTTACTAGTGAAGCTGGGGAGGGAGAAGGTGGTTACTGGCAGTGGCAGATTTAGGATTTTCGAGTTGGTGAGTCACCATCATTTATTGATCACATAAGAAACTACAAAAGAAAAAAAGGGGGGGGGGGTTTCTAGTTCATAATTGTATTCAATCCAAAAATTATATTAAAAAACACAGCTATTTCACCAAATGCCACTGAGTAATTGCAAAATTTACCAAATGACATGAAGGTTTTCAAAATTCACCAAATGCCACCGAGTTTTAAAAAAATTCACCGAGTGCCATTAATGACTGACGGCCGTTAGTTGACCCCACCACTTGCCACGTGTCACCTTCTGATTGGTCTGTTTTTTAAAAAATAAAATAATTAAAAAATAAATAAAAAAAATTTAAAATTTTAAAAAAAAACCAAAACCGGCGGCCAAAAGCCCAGCCACCACCCTTCCTGCCACCGAACCCCGATCCCTTGTCACCGTCGATCTGCTCCCTCACAGGCAGGCACGCCGGCGGCCGCCAACCCCCCTCCCATTCCCTCCTCTTTCCCCGTCGCAACCCACCCACCCTTTAAACCCAAAACCCCACTCTTTAACGATCGATGTTTGATGTACGGCCAACCACTGTTCTTGTAGGATTCCGACGTGGGTGGGTCAGAATTCCTTCAGAACACACGACTTGGTCTCACCCTGTCACGGGTCGCAAACCGGTGGAAATCGAAGTATAGCTTGGCGCCGGTGTTGACCCCTGAGAACCCTAGGCCTGGACTCACCTCGCACTTTTTCGTTCTCTTAAAGGAACGCAGGTAACGACCTTTGGTGACCTTCCCTAGGTAGTTCAGATTGGTGATCAGGAAACCACCATTGGAAGAATGGTGGCTGAGGCCATCGGAATGGTGATTGCAGAGGCTCAAAGGAGGAAGGTGGGGTTTCGGGTTTAAAGGGTGGGTGGGTCGCGACGGGGAAAGAGGAGGGGAAGGGGAGGGGGCCGGCGGCCGCAGACGCGCCTGCCGTTGCAGGTCCCGGCGGCATGGCTGGGGTTTGGCTGGTGAGGGTGGTAGAAGGGGTGGTGGGTGGGGATTTGGTGGTTTTTTTTATTATTATTATTATTATTTTAATTTTTGTAAATATTTTTGGTTTTTTTTAATTTTTTAAATTTTGGTTTAATTATTATTTTTTAAAACGCACCAATCAGAAGGTGAAACGTGGCAAGTGGTGGGGTCAACTAATGACCGTTAGTCATTAATGGCACTCGGTGAATTTTTTTAACACTCGGTGGCATTTGGTGAATTTTGAAAACCTTCATGGCATTTGGTGAACTTTGCAATTGCTCGGTGGCATTCAGTGAAATAGCCATAAAAAAAATTGTATAACAACCAAATTGATTTCAATCCAAAAATAGGACACAAACATTCATACTACAACTACAAAGTACTTAAAAAATCCATCTAACAAGTCGAAGTTACTACAAATAACATGTAACAAACAAATAGTACCCACTCATTACTTTTATTAGTAACAAAAAAAAAAAAATAAAGTGCAAAAGGCATTACTTGGGGATGGAGTATAAGTTGTTAGGCTGCTTATTGTAATTGAGTTGTTCAGAGACTAGATTGTAGATACATACCCACTATGCATTATAAGACCTAAAATTTTACCCCCTACATACATTATTTACGATCACATTCTCTAAACCAACACAATTATGGTTACGACATAATTTCAACAGGAGAAAAACATAAACCTTTACAGTAGTTGTGTAATTTAAATTCTCTCTTCAGCCTATTATTAGTACTACAATATTGAGAAATTTAATCACAATATTCTAAGAAAAGTTACAAAATTTTAGATGCATGTTAAAATAATGCACTACTATATATTTCTGAAGGGGGAGTGGTGATTAAATTAATCCTATTTATCTGTTTGTATGACACTGCTACACTGCAACAGACGCATACCAGACGTAAACAGAGAAGGAACAACTTCTAGTCATATATCAATGGACTTGAACTTCTCTTCCAAGGAAGGAAAAACTTTAAGACGTTGAGAACATAGAGCAATATAATCCATAGACTCTAGAGAAACTATAACTAACAGTGAATGAACAATTCCGTAAGCATGACATATAATTAATGAGGTGTTCGATCAGCAAACATCATAGGTAAATAAAAAAAAAAAAAAAAAAAAGAACATCCAAAGCTAGTAAAATCATCTAACCTGTCTTAAAGTTTGATGTATAATATCATCAATTATAAACGGCCTTAGCATCCACATTTTGCAGTAGCTATCCAATTCACTGGTGGATGATTTTAGATTCAATGAAGAAACAATCTTTTCCTGCATTGTATAATCTTGTTTCACCATGCTGTATATTACTGCCATAGAGGCACAACCAGCAGCATCAAGCTTTTGAGAAGCAATTACTTCTTGTTCTGAACCCAGGGAATCCATATCTAATTGGTCATCTGGGTTCATGATCAAAGCATTGTCTGCCTTATCCATAAGACTTTGAAGTTCATCAACTATGCCTTTGACTTTAAGTGAATAATCCCGAAGGTTACCCAAACTTGTGTTCAGCTGACTAACACTCACTGTGCTATCATAAGCCTTAATGCAACCAGCTTCTACATATGCACCAACCCTCTTAGTTTCATTTGCTTTAACAATGCTCTTGACCAGCTCTGATGATTCAAATATTGAAGGGCGTCGAAGAAACTCAAGTGCCTGCTGAAATCTAGCAAGAAACGTCTGGCCAACTTCCACTAACTCTTCAAACTTGATAACTCCCACCATAAATTCTGCCAGGATCCCCCTGATTTCATCATCAAGATTGGATTTTCCTTCTTCCATTCTGAAATCCATAGGAACATAAGTTGCCATACCAAAATGAAAAGCAATATATAAAGACGAAGTTTGTAGTCCTATGTCAAACATCACAATTATTCATCGATTATCAATCGACTAGCAATTTCTCTCTGTTATCATCAATGTCATCCCTACCAGCTATGAGTACAAATTTACTTTCAATGTGGTTCATTATTTAGAACTGACCTCACAATCTTACGCATAACATTTTTTAACTCCAATCAAAACAGCTTCATATCCAAGCACAAACTACCAAATGTTTAGTCACCCGAAGTCACAAACTTCAACACCGTACTCCCTCCATCTCTTTAAGTTCTTCCTATTTTGACGGTGAATGTCTCACAAAAATGAGTCAATTCCTCCTCGCTAAATACATACTACTATAGATGTCACGTGATAATGAAATACCATTAGACCCAAGAGCAGCAACCAAAACATACAAGCCAAACATACTTTTCAAAGATTATATCATGAAATCAACATAAATAAAGATACAACATTTTGATTTTATAAAGATGTCTCCTCATTATTCACTTCATTATTAATGAGCAATATTTTTTGCAACACAATTAGTTTGAAACCCACGCCCAATCCCAGGGTTGAAGTATTGGACAAGTTTGTTTATGGTTTGGTCTTCTTCAAGAAGAGATGAGAGAAAAGTTGGGTTTTGGAGGGTAGTTTAAGGAGATATGAGCAGGCCCGTCCCTGAGGCAGGGCAGGAGGGGCGGCCGCCCTAGGCCCAGGGAAAAGAGATTTGATTTCATATTGAATTATCTCGAAAAATACATAATTTTAGGGATACTTGATTCAATAATCAAATTACGCTCATAATTTTCTTTTCTTTTGGATATGATGTTTCATAATCTAAGAATTTGCGAACCCTAAACTTAAACCACTGATAATTAAATTAGATTATATCAAATATAAACCCTAGATTGTGAAATTGATGTGATGATAACAACAACAAACAACTTACCTTAGAAGCTGCTTCAATGGGGGATACAAGAATTAGATTCAACGGAGTGCGCTTCGATGGAGAACGTTGAGTGCGCTGCAATGAAATAACTCAGAGACTTAGGACATAGGAATGGAGGCCTTTAAAAGCCATGACCCGCCATAGTTATAATATGGGTTAGACCCGTCTGATAAATAAATGAGGCGGGTTGTTATATGATCGTCTAATTATGAGACAGATGGACTTTATAAAGGTTTTATGTAAATATGTTTAAAATATTTTTTGATATTTCCATATGTCAAAGCTTGTATTAATTCTTTGAAAGTTTATAAGAGTTTTTTTTTTTTAAAAAAGACAGCTGAAATTACATTAATTAAACTGAGTTTACAACAAACAAATGGACAATAAGTAACATAAGTTACTATTGGCATAAGAAGCCCTTACGCAATATCAATTAAGGTCATTAACGACATTTACTATTTAACTATTACAACGAGTAAGGACAACGCATATAAGGCTTACCAACATACATTTAAACATGCGATGAGACTATTGATAGAACGAGGGAAGTTAGTGATGATGTTTCGTGTTGTGCAAGATATTTTCTAACATACAATTAAAAGTCTATGAATGTTGGTGAAATGACGAAAACAACCCAAAATCAGTATGTCTTATATTAAGGGACCCCAATAATTCAAATGTATAAAATCCTCTTGAGATATATGCTTCATACATGTCAATCACATTTCTTTGTGATCTGACAAAACCATATCGTATACTCCCTCCGTCCCATAATATAGTTCCTATTTTGTTTTTTTCACGGTATTTAAGAAATTGGAGGAGAAGTGAAAAAGATCTAGACAAAAGTACAAGGCAAGTAGATAATATAAGGGGAAAAAGGTAAAAAGTTCAATCATAGACAAAAGTTAGAGAGAGAAAGTGAAAAAAGTACAATGCAAGTAGATAAGTTAAGGGTAAATTAGGAAGTTCAATGAATAAAGTAAAAATTAAGGGTATAATGGTTTTTATATACTATTCAAAAATAGAAACAGGAATAACATTTTGGGTCTCTAAAATAGGAAAACAAAAACTATATTGTGAGACAGAGGGAGTATATATTCTCATGGTCATGATGTTGAAATGACTTTTACCGATATCACATACAAATGAGTTTAACAACACCTACTACGCGTTTATGTAAATCTGAAATTGAAATTTTGTTACATCTCCCAACAAACATAAGTAACACCACTTCCATTAAAGGAATACATTTTTTTAAAAACTAAAGAGATTAAAAGCGACAATTTCAAGAGTCAAACGACTCCATTTCATCCTCCAATTTACCCTGAATTCGACTTGTCTTCGCTTTTCGATCTATTATATTGGATGCTTCCAAAATCAAGAGTCAAACGATTCCACTTTGAATTGGAAGGGATTTAGATGTGTATGTGTTACTGATGATAGTAGTTGTTTCAGAAGTTTTCTTACAAGTTTTTATTTCTTACATGAGAAAGTTTTTCTTGTTTTAGGCTTAAAATATTTTAATTATGCAATTTTATTTTGACAATAATTATTTTTACGATATAGGAGAATCGAGTGAGATGATTTTTAAGTGGTTGATAATTTTATTTGGTATCTATACATGTATGGATTTTTTAATATTCGCATAGTATCTTAATAGGTATTTTATATACTTTGAAAATTAAAGTGTCATCATTATAAAAGATTATGATTCTTGGATTGTTTGATAAATTCTATTTAATGACATGTTTACAAGCATGATAATAAATGATAATTTAATTATGAGATGATACATTTATGAAACATGATTATTATTGATTTCTCACTCATAATTATAGATTGAAACAAGTAAGTCAATTTAATACTCTTTCATAGAATGAGATGAATCAAAGAAGGATTTCAATGTAGAAGTGTAATTATGCACATTTTGTGTGTGTCATAACCATGTAATAAATTGATTAATCACGAAATAAATTATCACATATAACTATTTAAAAATATAATATTCTAACGAATAAATCACAAAAGAAATTCAAAAGAGGTGCGTGAATAGTGAAAAAGTGTAAATAATGCAAATAATTGATGAAATCTAATATATATATAAATAAAGTAGACATTTTTCAAGAGCATTCGGAGCGCCACATAAGCAAAGGTATATTTTCGACCAATTAAAAATTAGATTTCTATTTTATTTTGGAATTAAAAAATTTGTTTGCCACCTAAACAAAATTGACGAATGAGATTTAAGAATTTTTCCACGTAAGTAAAAACAACGAATATTGATTTATTAGGATTAAATTTATTTAAAAAACTAAAAATTATCTTTTAAAATAATCATCTTTAGATATAGGATTTATATACGTACTAATAAATTTTGATAGTGTTTATGATAAGAAATAAAAATTATTCCTTAATTATAATTAAATTAAAATTTGTGACATTTAGATGAAAAAATTCCAATGCATAAATTTAATTTTGTATAATTACAATTTTTAGATTAATTTCACAACAATTATTCACTTTTTGGTAAATATTTTAATTTATTTTATAAGACTATAAAGATTAATTTTATATAAATTTTATTTTTGCTAACATATTCTATTTATCCACTTTTATTAGATGGAAGAGATATCGGTGTGAACTAAGTTGGTGATCCTATCGAATTTTTTTTTTAATACAAATTTTTTTTACATCGAAATATTACATCTAATAACTTTATTTTTAATGTAAAAAATATTATGAGTATAATCTAATTACAAAAATTATGTTTATGAGATTTTATGTATAAAAAACCGTAGGATATTAGGATTTAAATTATTAAAAAAAATAAAAATTATCTTATGAAATTAATGGTTTTATCTAAATACCCGATTTATAAGATTTTTTTTCATAAAAAAAATTTAAAACTTTTAACCCAATAAAAAACATTACCTTCTGTAAAAATTTTATGTCTAAAAATTTTATAAGACAGATAATTTGTTAGAGATCAAGAGATCACAAGAAATATACATAATGATATATAGATTTGAGAGTTTAATTTCAAGTGTAAAAAGCAACGAATAATGATTTAGGATTTAAATTATTTTAAAAATAAAAAATTATTATCTTTTCACATTAAAGATTTTATCCTAATATGTAATCAATGAAATATTATATTTATAATTTTTTTTGAAAGATATCATATTATTGTCATATAACTAAGAACAACGAATAAAATACAAAACAACAATAAATGAAGTCGCGGTATAAATTACATTAAAAAATTATACTTTTGTAATTGATAATATCATTTTAATTAAATTATTATTTGTTTTTATTTTTTTTGTCTGAAATTATTAAATTGTAAAATAAGTCAAATAATTATATATATATATATATATATATTAAAAAAAAACTTTGAGTGTATAAGAAATATCTTTTCTTGAGATATATGTATGAAAAATCCGTGCATTGCACAGGCTTTCATCTAATTATTTTACATATTATTTAAATATATTATATTTAAATAAAAAATATTATGAATATCAATACTAATAATAATACTAATAATAATAATTTAATAATGCGATAATAATAATAATAATTATAATAATAATAGTAATAATAATTATAATAATAATAATAATGATAACAATAATAATATTAAAATAATAATAATAATAATAATGCGATAATAATAATAATAATAATGTGATAATAATAATAATAATAATAATAATAATAATGTGATAATAATAATAATAATAATACTGAAATCTGCTCTACTCTGTCCAAAAACTCAAAAGAACGGGGCTAACTTAATAACTCGCATAGTATTATGTTTGCTAGCCCGGGCCGAACTTAAACTTACTTAGGACTTGCAACTGTTGTAACTTGCAAGTATACTACACAAGCACCTAAATGTTATTGAATCTATTAAACAAGTCAAATGTTGCTCAATGAAGTCGTTGTAGTATAGTGGTAAGTATTCCCGCCTGTCACGCGGGTGACCCGGGTTCGATCCCCGGCAACGGCGATATTATTTTTTTCCTTTTTTTTTTTTTTTTTTTTGAAGGAACCTTTATTCTTTAAACAACTTCGATTATTCAAATCTTCTTTCAATAGATTGAAATTCATCTTCAATAAAACCCTAATTTCCCAAAAAGAGTATGAACATTGCTACAATTCCAATGCAAATTTCATCATCAGCTTTTAATTACTGCTATTTTCGTAGCAGTTGCAGTTGTTTTTTGTCCTCTTCAACATTTCGCAAAACCCTAAAATCTCCCACTTCGAATTGGAGAATGACCAATTTTGCTTGTTTATCATCGTCATATGCTGATTCTAATTCTGATCAAGTTGCGACGTCGTTTTCTGTTGGTGCTCCTAAGCCTAAGCCTAAACCGTGGCTTGTTGTTGGCCTTGGAAATCCTGGCAGAAAGTACAACGGCACTCGTCATAATGTATTATTCTCTTCTAATTATAGTGTAATTTCTGTATTTTTTGCTGAATTTTGTGCCTTTTTGTGTTTGCTGTATTCTGGGTGTTTTGAAGAGCAAGATTTTATTTTTGGTGGTTATTGTAATATGTGATGCACTATTGTGTTAAGGACTCATTAGAAATTTTCAGTTTTAGTGAGTTTGGAGCGTAAAATTTTGGGTGTTACTATTTTTTCCCCTTTTATTGTTGATCAGAATTAATACTCTTGAAGCAAAATTGGAAATTTCGATGTTTTGTAGTTTGAGTCAATTGTGGTCAAGGGAAAACCTTCAGAAATTGAATATTGTGTTACCAATTTAATTAAAAATAATATGGATGTTGGAGTTAGGGAACATTTCATGCATTGAAATGTAGTTAGGAGAAACCTTTCATAGCATCCAGCATTTTGGTTTTACCTTGAGTGTGGCGAAGAAGCATGTTTCTCTGCAATTTAACATTACCATTTAGAATGATCATACATGTTTAATGGAGTTTGATTTTTCCTACAACAAATATGCATGACTAGCAAGATACTGTGCTTCATATGAATTATCCTAATATTCAATCATTATTAATCGTAGAATGTGCTAAGATTTTGGTCTTGCTGAGTTGGATTTAATTTATGTACAGAGGCAGTGAATGTGTTCCTTTCCACTATTCTACAGGTTGGATTCGAGATGGTAGACACCATTGCAGAAGCAGAGGGAATTTCAATGAATAGTGTATCTTTTAAAGCTATGTTTGGGAAAGGTACTCTTGCCCTCTGTTTTAGTTTAAACATTCTCAAGTAACATAGAAGATATTATAGCGCCATAGCGGAAGAGCATTGAATTTGGATGGCAATGGGCATGAGCTTTAGTTGGTATCAAACTATCAACTGTCTATAAACAGCTTGCCTTTTCTCAGGATTCTGAGAATTTGTCAATGTTGTGCGAAAGGGTTACAAATTTACTTGATGTTAAAGCAAAATGTATGAATGTAAACATCCCTATTCCCTAATAATAAACACTACTAAATGATCTAGAAAACATACTCTTTCTGCCCCCATACTAGTTATGCTATTTATGGTTGAAAAACTGATATGTAAACTTTCATCTAGTTTGCGTATCCATTCAAGTCAATTGGCAGAGAAACCGATTTTGATTCTTGGCAGCACTATTCTGTCAACAAACAAATTCTCTCCTGCTCACCGTGTCAAGGAATTGAGCTGCTCAATTGAAGCTGATCAAAGTGAAAGCTTGGTTGCAAAATTTTTAATTGAAGCAAGTGAAAGTTGGAGCTTGGTTGCATAGTCAGCTCACTAATCATCCACACTAGACATAGGTTTTGTTTGTTCTGTTAGAGTATAGTATATAACTAGCTTTGTTCTCATTCAATGAATGATGATAGGTGGAGTAAATAAGTGAGGTTCTTAGTAACTAAATGGACTTCAAAATGTAAATTGTGAGGATTGTGGGAAGAAACGTCATAAGAAGAGGGTTTAGCAGCCAAGGTTGTCGAAGAGTGGCGAGGGAGAGAGGGGCATTTAAGGAAATTATTTACGATAGTAATTTATATTTGAATTGCAAATATACTTTGTATTTTTAGAAATTATTATTAATTACTTTTTAACTTTTCGTATAGTTTAATCCTCCTAGTCTCCTACATCCCCCTCCCAAAATATTAGTCCCCATTTACATTTGCAACTTACCAACATTATGATTCATAAATTTTTAAAGGCACATATTGGAATAGATTACAGATATATTTGAAATGACCCTCATAAACAAGGAATAATTGTTGATGTTAAAATTTTCTTGGACTTCTTAACTTTGGCTTTTCGTGTTGCTTTTTAATTGAACTAATTTAGTTGTGTTTATCAGGTTACATTGGAAAAGTTCCAGTTATCCTTTCCAAGCCACAAACTTTTATGAATGTCAGTGGTGAGTCTGTAAGTAGCTTATCTTGAAATATCTATCATTATGTTAAAAGCTAACTTATCAACTCTGTTATATGTTACATTTGGTGGTAACTAAACTCTGAAATATTTTATGAAGGTTGGTCCTATGGTTTCATATTATAAGATCCCATTGAACCAAGTATTAGTGGTAATATACTACTCACATACTCAATCTATTGTGTTGCATTTCAAAATCTTGAGCCTCATATTTAAATAGATGATTGACTATCTTGCAGATATACGATGATTTGGATTTGCCTTTTGCAAGATTGAGGCTATTGCCCAAGGGTGGTCATGGAGGACACAATGGGTAATTACCTTCTAGCGCTTCCTTTGTTATACTTCCTCCGTTTCGAATTGCTCGCTACACTTTCTGTTTGAGGATGTTTCAAATTACTTGCTACACTTCTTCTTTGGGCAAAAAATTTTGGGCATCTCTCTCCTCTCACGTGGGCCCTCTTTTTTATTTCTCTCTATCTCTTTTTTCTCCAAAAATTGCCTAGGAGTCTGCCATTTTAGAAGTGTAATGAGTAATTCAAAACGGAGGAAGTATGTTGTTGGGTGCTTGTGATGCTATGATATTCGAAATTTAGACATGTTTTACATGCTAAGTCAATTTTTTCCCTTTAAGTTACTCACCCAAACTCTTAGGGGCTAAGAACCACATTAAACTTAGCTCACCACTGTACATAGTTGGTCACTTGGACTTACCTAATTGAAAAGAATGTAGTATTATTTGTGAATACTTTTGCCAAAAACTTCTTTATTTTTGGATTATAGAATATATACTAACATGAATTGGTAACTTATGGGACTCGGATAAAACTCTCAAGTAGTTTCTGTCCTTTTGAAACTGTATTTAGTCAAGCTTATTAGTCTCGTCGGCATGCTAAAATTTTAGCTTTATGTTGGTGAAACATGAAGATTGACTCATAAAGATTATTAGTTTATGAACAATGATGTGAGGAAGGTTGTGTGTGATTGTTGATTTAATGTGCTTGTGCCTTGTAGGATGAGGAGTATCATTGATCATTTCAAAGGAAATCGGGACTTTCCTCGTTTAAGAATAGGTACAAATTAAGAATGAAACATCTATTTTTGTTTTCTTCTTTTTTTGTTCATGTCAATAATCTGTGTAAATTTAGGTATTGGGAGGCCTCCTGGAAAGATGGACCCTGCAAGCTTTGTTCTTCGTCCATTCAACAAACAAGAACGTGAAGAGGTGAAAAGTCTGCTTTCTTTTTATTTTGCAAGTTGTTACCACATCTATTTGAACTACACATGTACAACGGATATCCCTTCTTGACACACTTTTGAAGGTGCAAAGCGGAAATAATCCTTAACCATGAACTCTTTCCTTCCCTTTTATACGTCACCTTATTCCTTGTTGGACTATACAAAGTAACTTTTTGGGCCGTGCAATCGATCTGAGCCTTATATTTTCCTAACCAGTCCATTACCAAAATGACATCCAATTCTTTCTAAGTCAAACTCTATCTAATTCTACCCCATCAAATTCTACCCCAAAATTTGAAAGAGGTGCCCTTCTAAGAGGTGATCAAATGGGCGGGCCAGGTCGGGCTTGTACATAAAAGTCATGCAAACCTGCCCAAAAAGTGCGGATCATGCAAACTTTTTCGGGCGGGTTGGACTGGCTAGCGGGCGAGCTATTAATGATTACCTCTACTCTAAATAACTTAGAACAATTCCTTTCCTTGGCGGAATAGAAACGTCCAATGAGAGTGATTCGGTACTCTCTAGTTTATGACTTTCTACTACGGTCTTAGAAACAAATGAATGGGATGCACTCGAATTAAACAGAACTTTCACATAAAGAGAGCATTCAAGGGGCACACTGAAGAAGAAGGGTTATGCAGCGCCTAAGCGCGCCTCTCAGTGCGCCTCTTTGAAGTGAGGCGCACTATATAAACTGTGAAATCTTTTTGCTGAAATTTGCTTCAGGTGCGCCTTGTGCGCTTTTGGTGCACCCCGTGTGCCTAACATGCGCCTAATAAAAATGCCTCGCCAGACCAACTTAGCGCTTACCCTCGCCTTGCGCCTCATAGCGTTTTTTCAAACACTAGTTAAGCCTCACACTGTTTATCACGAACACACGGCCCTTGGGAGTACCACTCGCATTGCTAATAGTCCCAATCTTAGGTGTAGGTCCATTGGGTTAGGGTGGCTTGGTTGGAATACTAGGCTCTTTCACCTTTTCTAACATTCATACTAGGCTCTTCTCAAGACATTACATTCGTACTCACGATGCCCCAACTTCTAACAATACCTAGATTACCCACAGGGCTACAGGTCACAATCTTTCTTTGGTTGGTTCTTCTCACATTTCTTTAAAAAATAGGTTCTCTTGTGATTCTCACCAATTCTTTGATTCACATTTCCTCGAATGGTTGAAAATTCTTTCCTTTCCCAAAGTTTCCATTGTTCATCCTCCTTTCATTGAAATTTCCATTAGGCTTATGCTTCTTCTCACCCTCGTGAAAAGACTCAAAACTCTTCCTTTTCTTTCCCGAATTCTCAATTTCCCTTCCTCTAATTCCATATAGGTGAGATGCTGAGATCGAGGGATAGCTCAACTGGTTAGAGCTTTCCTCCTGTTTTTAGGAGATCCTGTGATCGATTCTCACCCCGCTCTTGTGACTCTTTAAACACCAAAAATAAAATATAGGTGAGATGCTCTTCCATACACTTCATCTAAGGTTTTAAAAGTAGCGCCCCCTAACTTCCCTTAAAGGTTCAAAGTTAGTCCTTGCTTAGAGCCTTTGAAGCTTCGGTGGGTACTACTTCAGGTGCGAACTTCATCAACTTAACAAACGTCATCAACTTAATGAACTTGCTATAGTACTCGGTCTACTCACTAATGGTCATGGTCCTCATTCTACGGTTGGTGAACTCTATACACTTTTGTTTCCTTAAGTACGCCGGATAGAACTTAGCTCTCAATGCTTCTTTCAAGTCTGCCCACCCAAATTTAGGCTTGTTCAACAATTCATCCTTTTGTCGACTCAAATCGGCTTTTCCCCTCAAGTAATAGACATCATTACTAATCTTAAGGTTTTCGGGGCAATTGATGGCATCAAAGTTTGCCTAACTCTTTAAATACCCCACAAAAAGTTTCCACCTCATTTGGTTGGTTACTAACAGCCTGGGTCAAACTTTTCGTTAACTTCTTAAGAGCGGTTTGACGCTAGTCCTATTACCCTTTGGGTGTAAAAGCACTTGAACTAAATATGGGAACACAAAGTTTACTTAAGTACTTAACCATGCAAAGATTGCAAACATAATATAGAAAGAAAATTTCAAACGTAGCATTTCATTCATAAAGGTTTAAACTTTTACATAGATCTCTAGCAGCAAAACTTAACCTATTATTTACATCAAAATTTATCACTATCATCAAAAAGCTAACAATTATTACATCAAACTCATTACAAGCTATTTGATTAGACTAACTTAGTAGAAATTAATCTTAACAACCATCGGACTCGTCCATCTCTTCCTCTTCTTCATCGTCACTCATGGTAGATGGTGAAGGCAAATAAATTCTTAGGGAGGAAACGTGGTATTTAGGTGACATGGTTTTTTTGCTGTGGACATAGCTGAACCTTCTAACTCGGAGTGGTCACTCTCTTCTTCCATTGGCACAAAAACATCAATACTTACTACTTCCCTTTGGTTTCCCCCGACATCTGTTACTCGGATATGGCAATTATGGTCGATACGACTCGACACGGATCCGGGTATGAAATCCGTTCCGGACACGCCACATGGCTCTCGGGTATGGCAATGGTGTCTTGGAGCTTCAAAAATGGCGAAGAAGAGGTTGAAGGTGGAGTCTTGGAGCTTCAAATATGGCAGACATTCAAACATGTTCAACAATAAAGAGAGAGGAGAGAGAAATAAAAACTGTGGTGGAGAATTATTTTGGACCCACACTCATCTATTTCTTTTTTTTTTTTAAAATTGACCATATGCTTTTTGAAGTACAGTAGTAGTACTATGAATAAGAATATTTTATATTTTTGAGTAAAAAGTGGAGTCTTGGTCATTGCAAGTTGCATTAAATTTGGCAATATTAGGTAAGTAGTACTATCACAGCACAAAAAAAAAAAAAAAAAAAAGGTAAGTAGTACTACATCAGTACATCATACTATCTAATATTTTAAAACAAAACTTGTTAACATTTTTTATGGGAACTTGGGTTATCCGTTTTTTTTCCTTTTATTGTCGTATCCGTACCCGAGTTCAAAGCTAAGACGGTGTCCCCGTGTCCTAAATTTTTTAAAATGACGTATCGGACACTCGGATCCGTACCAATATCGGTTACCCGTACCCGTGTAAATGTAACATAGCCCCCAACTTCAAGATAGTGGAGGTCAGTTGTGAAGTTCTTAGGGTGCCTGGCCAAATCCCTTCAGGGTAATGTTTTTCCATAGGAAATTTTGCCAATTGCAGCCATTTAAAGTTTGAATTTTGTAAATTGCAGCCATTTAAAAAAAAAAATTCAAATTGCAGCCCAAAACTACTATTAAATTGTAAATTGCCACCCAATTCAATTTTTTTTTATCGATTTACGTGTCGAAAAATATTCCGTCAAGGTTTTAGGGGTCATTGTAGATCTTAAAGGTCAGCTCGGAATTGGCAAAAAAATAACGTAAGTTCCTTGTGTTGCGTATCAAAAAATGTATTGATTCGTGTGCAACTATTTTTTGCCGTGAAAACGAGGCACTTACGTAAATTTTTTGTCAATTCTGAGCTCAATTTGGGTCCTTAAGAACTAAAATGGCCCCTAAAATCTTGACAGGACATTTTTCGGTACGTAAATCGATGAAAAAATTGAATTGGGTGGCAATTTACAATTTATTAGTACTTATGGGCTGCAATTTGCAAAATTTTTTGTTTTGTTTGTTTTTTTTTTTTTTTTTTTTTTTTCAAATGGCTGCAATTTGCAAAATACGAAATTTAAATGGCTGCAATTGGCAAATTTTCCTTTTCCATATTATAGGTAATGTCATCGTAGAGTATATCATTGTATTTTTGGATTAGAGGAGCATATTTAGGGGTTTTAGGCAAGTGGGCTACACAAAGTAATACTATCCAAGCTTCCTTAGTGAACATTGGATGGTACCGAGCTACCAATTTTGTGGGGTTATTTAAGAGGTTAGCCGTAGCTAAACACCTACTTACCTTGGCAAGGAAGACCCAATAAACCTTAATAATTGGATAAGAGAGTTTGACAAACTCTTTGATGCCATGAATTTCCCGAAAACCTTAAGATTAGTAATGCTTTCTATTACTCGAGGGACAAAGCTAATTTATGGTGGAGTCAATGAAAGAATGACTTGTTCAACAACCTTGAATTTGGGTGCGCAGACTTGAAAGAAGCATTGAGAGCTAACTTAAGATTAGTAATGCTCTCGATTCCAACTAAGTCTCCTCAACCGAATGGATCTACACCTAAGATTGGGACTAGTAGCAATGCGGGTGGTACTTCTAAGGGCCGTGTGTTAAAGCTTCTAATGATCTGGTAGTTGACACTTTTCTTATATGCTCTCTTTCTGTGAAAGTTTTTGATTGATACGGGTGCATCCCATTCGTTTGTTTCTAAGACCGTAGTAGAAATTCTTAAACTAGAGAGTCTCGAGTCACTCTCTTTGGACGTTTCTATACCATCATGGGAAGTAAGAATTGTTCTAAATTGCTTAGAGGGGTACCTCTTTCTATTTCTAGGGTAGAATTTCCGTCACACCTGATACTTGGATGTCATTTTGGGAATGGACCGGTTAGGAAAGTATAAGGCTCAGATTGATTGCTAAGCACAAAAAGTTACTTTGTATAGTCTAACAAGTACTAAGGTGACGTACAAAAAGGAAGGCAAGAGTTAAGGTTAAGGATTATTTCCGCTTTGCAGCTTCAAAAGTGTGTCAAGAAAGGCTATCCGTTGTACATGTGTAGTGTTCGCAAGTTGTTACCTCATCTATTTTGGGCGCCTTATATAGCTCAAATGATAATTTTGTTGAGCTAGTGTGCTTAGTCTAAGATACATCTTATCTTCACTAGGTGAAAACTTATCATAATTGAAAAGAATATACTATTGTAATTTTAATAAAGTTGTTAAAGGTTTTCTCTCAAATTTACGAGATCATAAAATCTATCTGTTAATAGTCTATTGAACATGGGCTTCTATGTAAATTTAGCTAGTAGCCTAGTATTAACCGGTCAAGGTAATGTCAAAGAAGTCCTACTAGGCCTGTATTTCTATGCTATTTTATGGATAAGGGCACTAAGGCCTTGTTCTTTTGGACTTCTTTTTAGTTTTCAGTTCAATTCAACTAAGCTTTGTTCAATTCATTTCGGTTTGGATGATTTAATTCATACCGTTTCAAAAGAACGGGGCCTTAGAGTCACTAAGGCTATATTTAGTTCAATTTTTATAAGCTTTGTAGTGCTTATTGTAGAAATCAGTAAAAAAGCGTACTCCCTCCGTTTTTTTTAATCGTTCCACTTTCCTTTTTGAGATGTTTTAAAATAAATGTTCCATTTCTTTTTACGGTATGATTTGTGTGTGAAAAGTACCAAAATAACCTTACTTTTGTGGGATCACATGTGCTCTTTCTTTTATTTTTTGAAGGGACCACATGGGTTTTTAGGAAAGTCATCATATTTAATCATTTTCTTAAACTTTGTGTCATTTTGATATGGAACAACTATTAAAAAACGGAGGGAGTATTAGATAAGAACATATAATTACTATAAAAAATCAACTATCAGGAGTTCGATTTAGATCAGAAGAGGCTAACTAACATAGCCTAAGATCATTGTAAATCAATAAGAATTTGGTTGTCATGTAATCGAGGATTGCAATGCATCACATTACATGATATAATCTAACATGTATAAGTTTGAGATTTATCCATGAAGTTTAGATGATTAGAACATATGAGTCGGTAGTATTTGAATTTTGAGAGGAAGAAAAAGAGGGGTTGTTTGGAGGATAGGTGCAGAATCATGGTGATGGAGTTTTGGAGGCCACTAGCTCCTACCTTATGATTTTTGTATTTATGGAAACCGTAACAAACTTTATTCAATGTTTATGGACAAAATAACTTTTCTCTTGTTCATCTTGTCTTCTATTGTCTTTGTAGTAGAGTTGGTTAGTGGGCCTGTTAAGTTTGGAGTTTTGGACTTTCCCACAGGATAACAACTTATTGGAAAATTGTGGTTTGCCCAAATGTCTGTAGTGTGTTTAGTATGGTTGTATATGCTCCAAATTGCATCTAGGCTTAGTGAGTATACTTTCAATTTGAGAAAATTGCCTTTTTGTTCTATTACTTGGGGATTTGTTATAAAGTCAAATTTGGTTCTATCTCAATTTTTGAGCTTTAAAAACTAGAAAGAGCTCCATGAGGAGCTCTCAATGAAACCAAACTTAACTGCATGATTGGTATTTTTAGTGCTATGATAGCTACAATACTGAAGCTAAATCTTCAACAACTAGTTAGAACTTTGATCCTTTGGTTACGATTCTTATTGCATGTGGTGTGGCAATCAACATTACTGGATAATGGGATATTTTTATCGGTGGCTGATTTTTTGGTTGTGTGCAGTTGGACTTGACATTGCAAGGTGGATTGGAGGCCATTCGGATACTTTTGCTAGAAGGTTTTAATAAAAGTGCTACATTTGTGAATAGTGCAAAGCGCCTGGAACAACTTAGTTGATCAAGTATACTATCAACCATTTTTTATTTTTTATATCTCCATTGGTAACCGTCAATATATCTTCATTGATGATATCATTCAAATTTGAACCTCTAGGTGTAATTCACACTATAAACATTATAATCTTGTCTGATTTTTAGTTTGTTCTTTGAGGGCCACAACAGGTCATATTTGTTTAAACCTTGAGTTAATTGGTTTTGGTTTCTTGTTTTGTTGCTGTGGCCCACAATTTCTTTCAACCATACGATTGTCATCCAAATTTACTCTCTCTGGCTTCGTTTCTTGTTTTCTTACTGAAGAACTTACATTTAGAAATTTCCTGTCAGGCTTGTTGGTGAAGAAACCAGTTTCATAATCATATATGGCTGCCTATGTTCTCCCTCTTCAGCTCTTTCGGCATTTAGGTTTTTTTCTCCTCTAATTGATTGATAATTATCCTCCGTGATCTCACTTTTAATCTGCCATAGCTTACATATATCGGTTCATATGCTTGGCTTTTAGTTGTTTAGTCATGTGTACATTGATGCGACTTGGATCGATTTTACTGATATTGGGTAGGAATTACCTGACCCAAATTGTTTCCAGCGCGACTGCCTCAGTACAGAGCCTGATCCATGATCAGCTTTTAACTTGCCAATAAGTAGGTGGGGGGTTTGTGTTATTCAATTTCGGTGTAGCGTTGGAGGATTTAGTGCAACAGGCAGCTGAATAGAGGTTTCACAATTCTGTGTTGATTTATGACGTTTATAGCTAGACTGATTTTTATGGGTTCTAATGAAATATTAAGATTGGTTTTTTTAAGTATGCAATTAAGTCTATATTAAAAATCATCTCAACGAAAACTTACAAATTACAGCAGCATGATATCATGCAATATTGATAGATCTTGAGTGTATATTTTTAACAAATTAATTTCCACTGGTATTTTTATTTTTTTTAAAATTTCAGTGATATAACTAAGTTTTTAAAATTCTAAAATCCCAATGGTATAACCAAGGTTCTTTCGCACTCTCAATTGTAACTTGTGTAGGGGTATTTTTTTAAATAAATAAATATTTTGTTATTGAATAAATAAATGGAAAATTTGATTCTAATAATCCAACATTTGCGTGGTCTTTTTTTTTATTAATCCGACCTTTTGATTATTCCACAATAATCCAAACTTTGGGGGTATTCCATTCTATTAGGCCAAGGTGACCTGCTACCTGTTCTTCAGGTATTGTATTTTTTTTTCAACTACTCCAAATCCCGGGCACTCCCTCCCCCTAACCTCCCTTTTCCGGCCAACCTCTCCCCCTTCCCATCTCTTTTCGCCGTTCCGACCATCCCTCCCCTACAACCACACCTCACCGTACAAAAACTCAAAATTCCAAATCAACACCCAGAATTTCAAATCAAAACCCAGAAACAAGGGCTTGTTCTTTGATCTTTCAAGCAAAACCCGAAAACAAGGGCTTCCGAAGAAGATGATTTGATGTTTCAAGCAATTGAACCTTCAATTTGAGGCATTAATTGGGTAAAGAAAGCCCCATAGTATGATTTCCTGCTATGGAGGGAAATTGAAACAGAGAGAGAAAGAAAGAAGAAGAAGGCTTTGGGGGAGAGAGAATTTGAAAAAAATCGGCGGTGGGGTGGGGACTTGTGATAGTTTCGATGGTGGGTGGGGGCCTCTGGGTTTGAGGTCGGGTTTCAATGGAGGCTTGGGTTTCTGGGTTCGGGTTGTCGTGTTTCTGGGTTTCGACCAGGGTGGTGGCTGGTGGGGTGGGGTTCCTTGCTGCAGGAGGTGGAAGTGGAGGTGGTGGGCGGAGGTCTGGCCGGAAGTGGGAGCCATTCATGGAGGTGTGGAAGGGAGGAAGAAGATGAAGATGAAAGGAAAAAAAAAGGGAAAAAAGTTGGTTTTTTTTTTTTTTTTTTTTAAGAAAAAAAAAAAATCAAAAATATTTTCTAGACAAATGAAATTACAACTCATGGCAAGTGACTTATTATTTTAGGTTAAGTGACCTACTTGGCCTAATAGAATAGAACACCCCCCAAATCTTGGATTATTGTGGAATAATCAAAAGGTCGGATTATTAAAATTAGACTGCACAAAGGTTGAATTATTGGAATCAAGTTTTCCTATGAATAAATAAAATGATTTGCCTCAATTTGCATCCTAAAATCATCTCCTGAGAATTTAAAGTTAGTTTGCAAATGAAAGAATAAGTTACAAGATGATTTCAAAAACTTGAATAAAATAAGTAGTCACCTTGAACAATATTAGATAAAAAGTAGGAGTATAATTTTCAATGAAATGCAATTATATATTTAAATGGTGAAATATAGGATTGGAGAGTGTTTGATAGTAGTGGAAACCTTAAATGTTTCCACATTTTTTTTAATTAATTGCTACTTTCTTTAAATCTATTAGAAATGAGCCAGCTTCTTTGATTTCCCTGCTAATTCACGTGTGAAATGTCATCCCTATCCCTTAGTAATTAACCCCAAAACAACTCTTTTCCTTATTCATCTCTCTCTTCATTCACTTTTAACCTGAAATATTTTATATACATCCGGGTGTACCGTGCACCCAACTAACCCAAAGTTAGTTTTTGTTCTTCATTTGATGATTAAATGAAAAACAGGGTAACAAAAGCCCAACAACGTGAAAGGAATGGTGTCCTTTGAACAAGTGTATTATTTCGATAGAGGGTTTGAAATTATTAAAAAGCTAATTATTCAGTGAGGTCAAGTGATCGGAATGCCTAGCTGGAGGCCGCTTCTGATCAGTAATATTAATCCATAATTAATATTACAGCTTAATCTTGACTGAACCCTTCGGGTCACACCTAATCGAGTAACTGAACCGAAACGACAAATTAATCCGAATGATTAAATAAGTCATTACAGTATTACGGACAAAGACGTCGAATATCGAGCTTAGAGCGTCGTAACCGAGCGTCGTAAGTCGAGTCGAATTTAGAATTCGACGAGACGAGAAATCAAGCAAACGACAGGTTCAAGCTAAGTCGTAGCTTCGCACTGGCCTAGCCATGCGAAGGCTAGGCTAGTATAAGGCACCAATTGCAATGCATGGCTGTGCCGCAAGCCAAGCATGCATGTACGTGCTAGGCTTGCTGGCCAAGCATGCTTGCGGGGCTGGTGCGCCTGGCCGCACGTAAGCTAGCACTAGCACCCACCGAAGCATCGCTGGGCTAGCAGTGGGCCTGGCAGCAGGTGCCTTATGGGGCAGCGAGGGCCTAGCTAGCATGCTAGGCCACGCAAGCAGCAAAGCCGTACAGCACGAGGCCCATCACGCAAGCTAGCCCGTGCGTGTGCTGGCTATGCCGCACAACAAGGCTGGCAGCCACAAGGCCTTGCGCCAAAGCCCAGTGACAGCACTTGCGTGTGGTAGCTTGTGTGTGTGGGTTTTCTTGGGGAGCAAGGGGAGGGTGGTCCCCCCTTGTGGTCCTCACCTAACCTCTTTCTCACCTCTTGATATTTGTCGTTTGTTGATTCATTTGCATTTCAATTTGATTTTTGAATTAAATTGAATTGAATAAAATGCATTTTACCAACTCTCCTACATTAATGGGAGATTGGAATTTAAGGGCTCCTTTCCCCATAAATACCAATCATTTGGCATTGAGAAGGGACACTTGAGTTGTGAATTTTAAGGGATCTCCAAGAAGAGAAAACCTTAGTTTTAATACTCTAAGTTCTTTTGGTTCAACCCCGACTAAGCTTCGGGGTAGGGGTTGTTCGGGTTGGGTCTCGAGGGTTGGAGGCTTGCGCATTTGCGGAGCTTTCTACAATTTAGTGCGCTTTCCAATACCATTTTAGTGTAAAGGTCCGTTATTTCTTCAATGTTAATTGTTTGGGTTTCATTTACTTCAGAGAAATTTGTCAGTGATATAAAGATGAACATTGAGAATGATCAAAGCAAATATTCAAGGTTTTTGTTTTTTTTGAAAATTTAATTTGTGAAATTGTTTGATAAATTCATGAGTGTGGGATACAAAATATATCTTGAGGTATCGTGGGGGAACTTGCAGCTTTGAGCATATCGATTTTGTCGTCAACGACCACAGCCACCTGGTACGACAACAACGGGGAAGGTGGAGTAATTTTTTGGAAGAAGAACAACTTTAGTCGTTGGATCCAAAAGCAATTGTGGTTATGGCGGGGGATTAGGGCATAATCTTGGCAGGAAAATTGTACGCAAGTATTGATTACATTGCTGAGTTTATAGTTATAGATTATTAAATAAATTTGATTTATGGGATTGTGTTTTGGTTGGAATTGGAAATTATTAGTTTAAAATTGTGTTAATTTTGTTTTTTTTTGAAACAAAAAATTGTGTTAATTTGGAAATGCTTAGTTTCAGGTAATCTGGAAATGAGTAGTTTACAACTTCATTAATTTGGTATTCATGTTTTATCACTGTTATTAACTCTCAGCCATTGTTCAATTAAGACCTTTGTTTAATATCATTATATGTTGTATGTAACTGACAGTGGTGTTGATGCCTCCTTGTTAGGCATATCACGTGCCCAGATAATTATGTTAACAATGTCTGAGGTAGAAGATGTAAGTGTTTCCTTGTGTGATAACGGGGAAGGTGGTGTAATGGATTTGATAAACTTTGAGGAAGGGGAAGGGGCTGGTGTCCATATGAAGGTGGAGAGGAGATGGATATGGATGGAGGTATTATGGTGGATGGAGGTAATTTGGTGAATTTGGACATAGTTAAAATACACCTGTTTAGGGTAAAATACCCCTAAGACACGTGGCCCTATAATGGCTTGCCACGTGTCAAGTTTGCAACGGTCAGCAAAGGCCCAATCCCTTTGCGACACGTGTCATTGTACCCTAATTGAGGTACAACTCTCCCCTACTATAAATAATAAGGGCAGACCTCATTTATGGGAATGGACAACAGATTCCAACAACCAACCAAACACAAAACCCATTGCAAACGCTCTCCAATCGAGAAGCCTTTATTGTTCTTATTTCCTCTTCAGAAAGATTCTAACTTAATCTTCGGAGGCGGAACTCCCACCCCCCAGCCGGAGTCTCCATTATTTTTGCAGGTACAGGCGAAGGAAGGAGCATACTAGGAAATTGTAACTCTCCCGTAGGACACAAAAAAAACCCCAAACATCTGGCGCCGTCTGTGGAGAGTACTTTCTAGATGACTTCAGAACCTGTACTGCCGGGAAAAGGTAGCCTACCTGCTGGTGAGGCTGAGGTCCACTCGGACCAAGATACAACCAACAACTATGAGGTTGAAGCTTACACAGCTGCCGACGGTTCTTTCAGAACCAAGCATACTCGTTCCAAAGACAAAAGGGAACGAGCAGAGCAGCAGGCAGGCCAAAGCCATCCCATCAGGGGATCGCTTGGGTTAAATCCTGCTTCAGAAGGAGCCACCCCAGTCTCTAGGGATGAACTCATAAGTATGATGATGAGTTTTAAAGGGGAAATCAAAGGCCTTCTAGATAACTCAGCTGGCCCCCGTAAGGGTCAGGCGGAAGAGAGGCGTCTTGGAAAAAAGACGGCCAAGACAGTGAAAGGTAGAGCATCTACCCCACACCCGAAGTCAAAGGTGCCGGCTAGGCCCATTGATTTCTCAAAAATTCACACTCCCATGGAGGGAGCCAGAAAACCCGTCCGGCACATACAACCGGATGGAACGAAGAAAGTCTATTCTGATGCTCGGACGCTCATCCAGGATAAAAAGACTCAGCAGCGCTCCGAGTCGGCATCAACGTCGACCTTTCGAGACAGCTTCCATGTCACATCAGGGAGGCACTCGAGAACAAACAATGACAGCCGGACGAGCGAGGTTTCCGCTCGATCCGACCCTCATATCATCCAACCGGCATTACATGG